TGACTACTTTATGCCTAATGGAGAACATCTGAAAAATATTCTCAAGGAATAACTGTCCTCCAAATGTGAACTGAAAATAAAAATGTGCCTATTAAGTGAATAAGTGGTCAGAACGTTAGACATGAGTAGTGGGTGGATGGCAGTGGAGGAGGCTTTAACCTATCCTAACACTTATTAAGCACTAAAATTTAGTGTATTATTTTCAAGTAATGAAGATTATTTCATGTTTGTGGCTATTAAAGGCATTAATTTGTTAAATGCAAACTTTTAAAACTGTACGGTAATTGAATCTTTTGCCATGACTTATTTATTCATTTATTTATTTTTACACTTGGAGAGATTTCCAAAAGTGGAGCCATTATGATCTCTTGTGGCACCTGAAAGGCAACACTGGGTTTGTAATTATTCCAATGAAAAGAAAAAATTGCCAGTTGTTCATTCAAGAATATTTATTGAAATGTGCTAGGTGCAGATGTCAAGTTCAATTCTAAACTGAGCTAGTAAAACTTTTTTCTGCTAAATTCTTTAGGAATTACTAAAAATAAAAGTTCGCATTTTATGGTATGCCTTCACTTTTTAAAGCTTTCGCATAAGGCTTTGATCACCGTAACAAGCCCTTGGATGTGTGGAGCGAGTGCTGTTTTCTCTATAAACCATAGTATGCCTTTTATTAGAGATGATTTTTTATGTTTTAAATGTTTTTGAGAGGTTGATGAGAGTTCCAACAATATCAGTGCAAGTCCCAATTTATATGCCACATGATCGATCAGTTCTGTGCATCAGTATCTGGGTTAATAAGTACATCAAGCAGCATCTCAAGGGAGCTGGCATTCCTTATGTTCTTCATCAACATACTTACTGTTTTTTGTATGGCTCACTAATGTTTTCTGAATCTTTTGTAAATTGACAAATAAAAGTAACTTTGGTGCCCCCTTCCAACACCAGACTCCTCCTGTAGATACTAAGCTTAGAACTGACACCAACTTCCACTTCCACTCTTGATTTGGCTGTAATTTACTATTAACCCTATCAAGTTTTGACTTTTCTGAGACTGGGTCTTAATCTTTAGCCTTTAAAATTCAGGATTAGACTTTGATCTTTGAGGTTAGTCTACCTATGTAAGTCTAACATTACTACATATTTCTGATATTCAGGAATATTGTTTTAATTACATAGCTGCCAAAACAGTCTCGCTTCATTTTGGGAGGAAAAAAATCATAAATGTCATTAAAAAAAAGAGATGATGTGACTGATAACAGGGTTTTCTGACTTTGTGTTCTTTATTTGTTGCGTGTGTGTGTGTGTGTAGGGGGGGAGGACACTATACAAAGTTTTTTGGAGAGTTGGAAAAAAATATCTTTGAGAGTGTGTTAAATATGCATAGATTTGATTGCTGTACTATCAGAAAAGTGTTTGACTCCTATGGTAACTAGAGAAGAAAGGATTCCTGTTTCCCAACCCCAACAGAGAGTGCATGCCAAGATAAAAATAATACACAGAAAGCAATGATCAACTAGAGAATTACAATAAATAGTGTTGCCAAAGTCCTTATGGTATCTGAATTTAAAAAACACCCTTTTGTGTGGAAAACTGCCCTGTAGGTGAACAGACCCAAATTACATCAATTAACACTCTGGAAAAGAATGATTCTACTTTTTTAGCCTCAATTTTGAATGGATATCTTTAAAAATGTGCACTTAGTACCTTTTGAACATTCATTACATAGAAGATATAGTGTTTGCAGCTGAGGGTATAGCTCAGTGGCAGAGTACTTGCTTAACATGTATCAGGCCCTGATTCAGCATCCCCCACCCTATACACAAAGATAAGATTGGCATTGTGGGGGAAAAGTCCTAGAAGATATATATCCTGGGCTCTAAAAAGACCTGTTCCCTTAGCAAGCTATTAAATTTTTGTGCAAATAGAGAATGTTTAAAGGTACAAGCTTGCCAAATTCAAGAGTGCTTTTAGTCAACCCTATATATGTATCAGTTTTATTCTGGTCCATTACAACTAATTACTTTTGATCACCTGAAATATTATGCCTATTTTTTTCAGCACCCTTCACAACATGAGTAGACAGTTATCACAATTTTACCTGATCAATTTCCCTGAGATGATTGCTTCTGTATACTACACACAAACTTCTGTCCTGGTGGGCTGTATGTGCAGGCACAGCTGCTATGCTTCAAAGCGCCACAAGGTAAGGTGGGTGAGTTGGGATACAGCAGTCTGAAGCCCTGGCTTCCAGGTCTTGTTTTGGAGGGCTTAATATAATCTGCACTTGGAGACTATTTTAACAGGGCAGAGGACAGAACCACCAAAGCAGGAAAGGAATGGGATGGTTGGGCTGGGGGCTCAAAGGAGGTGTCCTGACAGCAAATTTAAAAGCTAAATTCAAATTAAGCAAACCTGCCAATGCCACCCATCTTAAAAAATCTCCAAGGGCATCTGAAGCATCCAAGCATGGTAGATGGGACTACAAGAAAAGAACAAGGTGTGCTAAAAGGAAATTTGAGGGTAATTTTAGATGAGGATAAATTTGAGTGATATTTACAATTCATTTGTAATTCTGAGAAAGTGAGCGGTGGTAGTCCCTTTGGGGCACTGAAGGGCACAGGAATGAAGGAAAAAAAGGGTTCGTCCTTTGAATTGCTGCATCAAGGGCAGGACCATGTCTACCAGGAATGAAAAAAGAGAAAAGTTCCTAAATTGGCTTCAAAGTGAATGGGGAAGGGGTATATGGAGAAGGAGTCTATCAGCATTTAATTGGAAGAAATCTGGCAGCAGGGAGGCCAGAGGCCTACCTTCAACTTGTTTTCTGCTACCATATAGATCTCAGAACAGCATCAGAAAATCTGTCCTCATTCCTTTTTGCATTGGCTGTCAAGAAACTCAAAGCTGCTTCTGAGACTATCAATGGCAAAAAATGCAAGCAGGATATAATAATAGTCTTAAGGGCACTCTGGACTTTAAAACAAAAAAATAAATAAATAAAGAATAAAAATTAAAAAAAAAAAGTTACTGAAGAGTCAGAGTCTACTGTCTAGGGGCTCTAGAGAATGGATATCTAAGGACCACCACATTCCATCAGTAGAATTTCTGAGATATGTGCTTCTTGGAAGGTTTTGAATTATGAATTGATCTATTATAAATATATATGTCCTATGTACAAAAATATATTAAAAGGCCTATTCTTTGTCATATGTATATATAAATTCTCTATATTATAGATCTAAAGCTCGTTTGTTGGTCTATATGTTCATACCACTTATTATTTGCTCATAACAAATGGCTTTATATATTTTTCTTTCTCTTTTTGTAATCTTACTTGATTTTAATTTCAAACATCTCAATTATTCTTTAGGTAAAATGTGGAGTACAAATTTAATATGTGTCTTATTTTGTGTGTTTACTGTATGTTAGCACTGTGGTTTTGCTGCTATAAGCCCACAAAAATAATATTGCCTACTTCTTGGAAGAGGGGGAGCCCAGCTCTTGAGGATTGAATGAACTCATTTCTAATAAAACACTTAGCCAATGTCAAGCATCTAGTAGGCAAACGTTACATGGTAGACATTATTATTTTTCTATTTAACGCTCACAATAGGCTGCAAACATGACAGCTATTATTATTTCCCTTTCGGGTGGATAAGAAAATGCAAGCTTCGGCCCCAAACACATAGACAAAAGAAGGAAAAACTGGAATGGGGAGTGGTTTTTGTCCAAAAGTTCTATCCACTAGGGGTCCCTTGTGTCTTGAGTAAGTCACCTAAATTAAACGCGAAGGTTGGTTTCTTTACTGTTCGCAGGATCTCTCCAGAACTCTCCTAGTACTGACCTCCTGCTCAGTTCCTGGCCCTGAGACTCAAGTTCGTGGCTGAGAAACCCACGGGATAGAGACCAGTCGGTAGTTTGCTTTCTGGGAGTGGAGTGATTTGGAGAAGGGAGGTGCGGGGCTGCGTAAAAGTTGGTGCAGAGGATCCAGCCAATGGTAGAACAGGGGAGGTAAGGGATCCTCTGTACTTTCCGCAGCCTTCTCGGGAAGCTTCAGGATCTCGCAAATAATTCCCTTGCAAATCAAAGTAGGTGGTTCACTTTTTCAGTAACTTCTGCCCCATACTGAGATGCAATGGCATCTTAGCCCGATCTGTGCAGGCTCTGGGTGTTAAACCAAGCATCCCCCCACCGCCTGCTTCCCCGCCTCCCAACGCAAGTGAAGGCTTGCAGTCGCAGCCCTCGCCCTAGACTGCTGTGCTTCCTGCTCCCGGTCACTGGTCTTGGATGCGCTGGACGCGGCGCCACGAGTGTCTGCACTTGCAGGCTCAGAATCTTCCCGGCAAGTCTGCATACGGTGGGTTGAGCCGGGAGGGAAAGTTCCTTTTGGGAGTCGCTGGAATCAACGGAATTTCCCATCCCTCCACGTGTCCTATATGATATCCAGCGTCAGTTACCCGCGAACAGCCAAGAATTCGAGGTCCCCTCTACATAGCAATTCTTTTGCCTTTCGCTGCTGTGTAGACCGTTATAGAGTGAGCACAAAGAAGGCTCGGACTGCGCAAGGTACGACTCTTTAAAGAGTTTCTTTTTTCTTTTTCTTTTTAAAAGAAGTTATGCTTTCGTCTTGATGGAAACATATATGCAGTTTTATATATGCATTAAAAAAAATACAAGTTGAGTGGCCAAAAATTCATGGAAACTCAACGCTGTAGATTAGATTTGTACATTATATTGAGTGTAAGTTGCATGCCAATTGAAAAATGAATGGGAACATAATTCTTCATGCATATTAAAAGTTACTGACTTACAAGCATGTATAAAAGCCATTAGAGGCAGCTGTGATTGAGTGTATTCGTAGCAACTAAGCATCTCTGCGGGTTCTTTATTCAAGTTCCGTGCAGCCTGGAAAAGGAGTGAAAAGGCTGCTGACATCACTCGGGGGCGGGGCCGCCAGTCTTAAGAAAAGTCGCGCGGCTGCAGCTGCCAGGCACAGCTTCAACATGAGCTGCCACAACAGCTCCGAACTCCAGGTGCTTTGCAGCTCCAGCCAGCTATTCCTGCAGCCCCTCTGGGACCGCCTGAAGACCTGGGAGGCCCTCATCCAGTCGCCCTTCTTCCCGGTCCTCTTCTCAGTCATCACCTATGTGGGCTTCTGCCTCCCCTTCGTGGTGCTGGACGTCCTGAACCCCTGGGTTCCATCTCTGCGCCGCTACAAGATTCATCCCGACTTTTCTCCGTCAGCCCGGCAGTTGCTGCCCTGCCTGCGACAGACTCTCTACCAGCACGTGGTGTTCGTGTTCCCCTTAACGCTGCTACACTGGGCCCACAGCCCCAAGCTCCTGCCACCCGAAGCCCCCCAGCTGCTTGAGCTAGTGAGCCACATCGTGTTCTGCCTGTTGCTCTTCGACGGTGAATTCTTTGTGTGGCACGTGCTGCACCACAGAGTGCCCTGGCTGTACCGCACCTTTCACAAGGTGCACCACCAGAACTCGTCCTCGTTTGCTCTGGCCACGCAGTACATGAGCGTCTGGGAGTTGTTTTCCTTGGGCTTCTTTGACTTGGTGAACATCAAGCTCCTCAAGTGCCACCCTCTCACCGTCCTCATCTTCCATGTTGTCAACATCTGGCTGTCAGTGGAGGACCACTCAGGCTACGACTTTCCGTGGTCCACTCACAGACTGGTGCCTTTCGGGTGGTATGGAGGCGTGGCGCATCACGATCTGCATCACTCTCAGTTTAATTGCAACTTTGCCCCTTACTTCACACACTGGGACAAATTACTGGGTACCTTTCGCCCTGCACCTCTGCCAGCTTGGTGGAATTGTGGCTGTGGTGGGTGCCCCTCCTAACCGTGACTGCTCTGCATCTCACACTCGAATCAGAAGAAATATACCTGAGCTATTTAAAAAAAAAAAAAAAAACTTAACTTATTAACTGATGAAAACTGTTATAGACAAAATCTGATGTATTTTTGCAATCTGACAAAGTAATTTATATAATATATGTATATAATACAATTGTATTCTTGGTGTCAAATTCTAGCTCACTTCAATAACCTTGATTGCTGACATAAATTAGACAGTTATCATGGGCATACTTAAAGCCCGTGATTTGTTTATGGAACAAGGACTTATGTTTAAAAGTGTCTTAGAACTGGGATAAAGTTGCATCTTTATGGAGTAGACTCTATTCATAAACATGTGCCTGCTGGTCAGTGACTTAAGATTATAGTACTTTTTGTATTTTTAATAGAATTGTATATTTATATTGAAAGAAATGTTATTTGTGCTTAAAAAGTGAGAAAGAAATAAGTAAACCAAATAAGTACTGGCTTCTGTTTCACTGACATTTTGATGAAAAATAACTAAACAGGGAAGGGAGAGCTGGGATGCCAAATGCTTCAGAGCCTACCATGGAAAGAGAGGAACCTGGTGGTGGGTGTTTTGTGGGGAAGGGGGTTAGAAGAAAGAAGGAGGCAGGAGAAGGGGGGGCTCTCTATTTTGATCTAGATATTTCACATAAAGAAAAACACTCATTCTGAATATTTTCCAGGCAATTTCTGCACAGCAGGCAAACAATACAATTACTCTATAAAGTTTTACAGAGCAATTAACACTGGGCAATCATTGATTTATTTCAAGTTGGGTGTGTAGAAGGACTTACAGCATTAGAGGAGTGCTTTTCTTTGCAAAATTGGTAGTGTATTACGTTCATTAGAGTAGCTGAGCCATCCAACAAGGGATTTTGAGTAAGCCCTCCTTTTCAGGAATCCATCCTTAGCTAGTGCATTTTTATAATAATCATCAAAACATTGCCTCTGCAATCTGGAATTTTTGCATTTTCCTTTTATTAGATTAAGGCAGACGTGCAAAATCAGAGCTCTGTCTTAAAAAAAGATCCTTGAGGTCTTTGGTTTCTCATATGTAAAAAGGAGATGGTGTTCCAGATGTTCTAGCAGATTACTTGTGTTAGCAAATGTCCTTATTTCTGGTCACATACCTGTCACCAGTCAAGCAACCCATCTTGATGCTGCTTAATTATTTTAATGTTAATTTTGAACTATAGTTCATAAAAGGTAAAGTTAAAAACAAAGATAATTTAAACAGAAATCCATAAAGAAGGGTAACTTTTCATGTAATTCTTGACTTATTATATGTGAACTGAACTATTGTATATAAAGGTTAAAAAAAAAATCCATCTAAAGACCAGATTTCCACCATCTACCAATGAGATTCCTGAGAAATCTTCCAAATGAATGGCAGTATACAGCTGGAATATACCTGGTCTCTCTGTTGACATTCTCGTGTTTCCTCAAGTGTGTTCCTTTGTTTTCTTGACCAAAGCTACCTCCTCCTCAGGACCATGCTTGAACTAAAAGATGACATGATTTAGAAAAGTGAAATCTGCAGAAAGAGGAAGTGAGAAGTGAGGGGCAAATGTTACACTGGAGGTAGTACATTGTGAATGGAGAAAGAAACAGGCAGGAGTGGAATATGTGGTGCAGCTAGTTATTGTGAACATCCAAAAGCTGCTCCATAAATCTTGGAAAATGACACTTGGTCACAACTCTCTCTCAGTGAACTTTTAAAAATGTGCCATGCTGTCTTACCATATAAGGAAACTTTAGATTTGAGGCAAATTGGACACATGGAAAGTATTAGGATTTAGAAAAACTTTCTCAAAATTGTTTCTCAAAATTGTGTTCAATGGTCAATGCCTTGTAAGGTGGAACTGGGGAAGTTGGAGAATGAGCAATTTTTTTTTTCAGATAGTCTGAGAGCCTAATAGTAATTATAGATAGTTCATATTGGCTTGTACTTTAACCCATTCCTTCACTTGCTCTTTGCAGTATAACCAGAAGGGATGAAGGATAGTTGATATCATCACCATATCATCACTACCATCATCATCAATGTCATCTTCATCAATGTTAAGGATGAAATACTGATACCTGCATATGTCACATTCCTTTTCTAAGTAATCCTAGGAGTTGGAGCCAATTCTCCCAAACTTAGGTCTCATAGTGTTTACTATATCTCTCTTCTGATGTGTATAAGACTTTTCACAACTTCCAGAGAGATGCAAACCCTGCAATGCCAACAAATGGCCTCTTTCTGCTCTTCCTTCTTGGTCAGTACTGCTAAAACACAGTGTTCCCCTGACCCACTACTATGATGCTGGTGCAGGCCTGGGGGTTGCAGGAGAAGCTGGGAAAGGTAGATACAGGTCAGTCTAAGCAGGAAACAGGTTAAGGACTCCATTTTCAGCAATCCTCATTGATCCTGGGTCAAGAGGACAAATGCTGAAGCCAGATTACCTGGGAGGAATCTGGGTTCTGAAACTTACTAGCTGAGTGACTTTGAACATTTATTTAGCCTTTCTGTGCCTCAGTTTCTTCATCAGTAAAATGTGGATTATCATGGGATGTCCCTCACAGAGTTGATGTGAGGGGTTTTTGAGCTATTCGATGTCAAGGGGTGGGTGGAGGTCTTGGCTGTAGTGTTTGCTGTGATTGATACTACACCATGTGAGTAACAGAACTGCCGCAGGATGAGACTTTCTGCCCACAAACATGCTTGTGCTCTCCCATCTCATAGGGAACCAAATGAAGTTGAGGTTTTGATCCTGCTTCCACCCCAAGCCGTTTCTTTAGTTATCCTTTCAAGGCAAAGGTTTTGGAAAGAGACAGAAGTCTATGTTTGTCTCATTCTATTTCCTCACTTCTGAGTCATCCCATCCCCACCTCTTCCTGAAACTCTTACTCTGGGTTCACTATCTATATTCCTAATTATCAGATCCGGGGATTTTTTTTCCTTTTTAGTTTTCCATCTCCTGTTTTTTTTTTGTGTGTGTGTGTGTTTGTTCTTGTAAAATAGCCTGATTTTTCCTTAATTTTTTATTAGTACATTATAATCATACATGATAGTGGGATTTGTTGTTATATATTCATACATGCACACAATATAACAAAATGATCTCTCTTCTTTTTAAAATATTATTTTAGTTGTTGATAGACTTTTATTTTATGTATTTATATGTGGTGCTGAGAATCTAACCCAGTGCCACATGCATGCCAGGCAAGCGCGCTACCGTCGAGCCACAGCCCCAGTCCCCACTGGTCTCCCTTTTATTTTCATGAGATCCCCTCCCACCTTTTGTCCCCCCTTTTTCCTCTCTAGCTTCCACATATGAGAGAAGACATATGACCCTTTACTTTCAAAGTTCAGCTTATTTCACTTAATAATCAGCCTCATCTTAGAACGTGGTTCTTGCTTGGTTTCAGTGAGGTTTCTCTAAATCTTTTCCTTCCTAATTCTCCAGAAGCTGCTTCTTTTTCTTCTTCTTTTTTTATGGTGGTTCTATGGATTGAACCTAGGGATTATGCATGCTAGGTAAGTGCTCTACCATGTTTCCTCTCCCTTTGATGGCTCCTCACTCAACATTACAGGAAGACAAGCCTCAAGGTACTAGTATTTTTATTTAAAAAAATCTGTATTGTGTGTCATGTGTGTTCTTCCAACCATCTCTTAATGTACTATGTAATCTCCCATTGCATTGCATTAGAGTACATATGCAAAATGTGTGCACACATAATATGTACACAAACCATGCATATGTGCATATATACATGACATATGTATAATATTATATATATGATATATGCACACACTGTGCAGAAAAACTGTATGGATGTCTGCACACTGTTATATACGTATTTATATGCTATATGTATGCACATTATACATATATACAGGCAGTATATATGTATACATGTACACTCCTATATGCACACTATATATGTATACATATTCAAACATGCTATGTGTAGATATTATATATTGTCTATATATTGTGTATATGTGCACATGGTTCATTGTTGCATGAATTTTGGAAGCATTAGAAACAAAGCTTCACTGATAATCATATCTTCCTTCATTTCTTGTTCATATCCATTCACCATCACTAATCCATCCCAGTTTTTTACTCAGGCTATGCTCACAACTTATAATCTTTGTTCTAGGGAAGGTAACAGTCTCCTGGGAAAGAAAACCAGGCGAGCAAATCATCTAATCTAACATTACTGACCAGTGCTGTGATGGGGATGTTAATAGTTATTATAAAAGCCCAAAGAAAATGGGCCATTGGAGCTAAGTCATGAAGGATTTGCCTGGGTTCACCAGGCAGGACAAAGGCACACCTGGAAAAGATAGAGCATGGCTAAATCAGAGACAGAAGGAAAAACTTGGTATTCTTGAAATCTGAGAGTAAGCTCAGAGCACTGAATGAACCAGAAAAGAATTTCAGGGCACATGTCCAGCGAGGCAGTGAGGGCCTGGGTTTGGGTCCCAGCTATAAGCATTTGTTGTCTTGCCTCTTGACAAACCATTGAAACTGCATGGGACTCTTTGCTCTCCTGCCTATGTCATAGGGGTTTGGAGAGACCATATGTAAACAGGTTTGAAGTAAACATTAGAACTTGCTATAATTTGTTGATTTTTAAAGAATAGGTGAATGAGTGTGTTGAAAATGGAATTTGAATAATGGAGATGGCGGCAGGTGCTGCGCAAGCTTTAAGCAAAGGAGTAAAGTGATTATATCTAGTTTAAGACAATAACTGGCAACAGAAAGTAGTGAATGTTATTTCTGTTCACAGGCCATGGCAAGTTCTGTCTGGATTTTAAGCTGGCTCCACTGCTTATTAACTTTATGACTTCGAGCAAGTCACTTAAGCTCTCTAAGTTTCCTCATCTGTAGAGGGGATCATAGTACCTACCCTTAGAATTGTAGTGAGGAATAGGGAAAACAACATTTAGAGAACTTGGCACAATGCCTTACATATGACAAGCTC